GATAGCAACACTTCCCCTTCAGTTGTTGAATCCATTGCTCGGTTTACACTGGGAGGTGAAAGGACAAGAGCACATCACGGTGGATCGCGCTGCCATTGTCGTGGCCAATCATCAGAGCTCCGTGGACTTTTTAGGTTAGTGGAAGTCCAGTGATCTTTGCCTATAAACTGAGGGGTGAGGGAACTACAAATATCAGTTTGTTTTATATATTTATTTATTTATTTATTATTTTTTACATTTTGAACTTTTGGCAAAGCTTATGTTTACATCCCTTCTCCATCCTTTCAAGGCATGGTGTACATGTGGCCAATGTTTGAGAAGATCACAGCCATTGCTAAGAAGGAGCTTTTCTATGCCATGCCATTTGGTATGACAGCCTGGCTCTGTGGCACTCGGTTCATTGATCGCGGGAACCCAGAGAGGGCAAAGATGTCAATGAACAAAGCCCTTGAATATGTAACAGAAGAGAAGGTAAGGTTCTTGGATCTCTGATTTGGATTTTAATGTTTTGGGTTCTTTAGTTAATTGCAATTGTCTTATTTATGTGTAAGTTTTTCTGTTTTATTAGATTATTTGTTTTAACATACTTTTAACTTCTATACCCCCAAACCGGGCTTAGGAGAGACTGTGACTAAGGCCCAATGTATAGGATCACCCCTACCTTGGGCCTCTGCCCTCACCTCAACTAACTTTTGCATGGTCTTTTCTTCTCCCCCTTTCCTCTCCCATATTTTCTTCATCCCCTTCTTTTGTCCCATCCCTGAGGTATGAGAGCCATGCTGAAAGGATGGAAGGTTGGCTTTGTCTCAGTCATGAATGGTCTCTTGGGGCCATGGTCATGGTATTCCCTGAGTTAACCACCTGGCCCTTACCCCTTATTGGGACCCTGAGGGGTAGACTGTTTTTTTTTTTTCTCCATTATATTCAGGATCACTATGGCCAATAATGAAGATTCTTTACCCTTATTAGGGGCATTAAGGCTTTCCCCTTCATTAACTAGGCTATATGAATTTGATTTTGTTGGTTTTCCGACCCCAGCCCCTCCTTTAAGCACAGCTCCGACCACTGATACTAATACCCCCTCTTTGACGTTTACTGACGACTCTATCCATTCCAAACCACCCACCTAGGACATTGCTCAACCTTCAGAATACACCTCTCTCCCAACATTATTCACTCCATCTTCTATTGCAATCTTCTTCAATGTCTACCCCCTCTGCCCTTATCACTACTTGTCATCCTGATTGTCCTTCTCCCAACAGAACTACTCCACTCCACACCACCCCATCTTCTTCCCGCCCTCGTCCTTCTACTGCCTCCACCTCTGCAAACCTCTTAAGTATTCACTTTGGCCCAGCCAAGTGGGATCGATTCTTTGTGATTCCCCCCACAGCCCCTTATGCTGAAAATACTCTTCTCTTTCAACAGTGTCTCCAAAAACAAGTAGGCAAAGTTTCCTTTTGCAGTCACCCTGATTGTTCATGCCTTGTCACAGTAACATCTGAATCCCAAGCTCATGCACTATCTGTCCTAAGTGACCTCACTGGCAAACCCATTCCTGCGGAACCTCACTCCTCTCTTAATACTTAACTATAACTGTTTCTGTCTCCCCAACTGCTTGTCCTATCTACAACAAGAACTGGCCAGACTGTGAATATTACCTACTTGCCTGCCTTGTTGATTATCATGCTGTGGCAGTACATTGCAACACCATTCCTCCCAGAGGCCATCAGAAGGCCCATGCCAATATTGCCAAGGTTATCTTCTATAGAAATGACCTCCCACATGATATGTATATTGGTGGAGTGTCCTGCCATATCAACCCCTTCTTCTTGAATGTCAGAAATGTTGGCATTTTAGCAACCCAACCAAACACTGTCGCTCCACAGCCTGTTGCCCTCTATATGCCCAACTTGGTCATGACTGCTCAAATTTCTTGGCTCAGTCACACACGTGTGCCATTTATGGTGGCTCCCATAATGTAGTTTAATCCTTTGGATCTGGTTGTGTCACGGACATCATGCTGTCGAAAACCCGGGCAATGGGTTACGTAAGTGGCCAACATTCTGGATGTGCGGCACATAGGCTGGGCGCGCACACACACCCAGTGCAGTGCAGTGACAAGACTCTGTTTCCCCATTGCGAAGCTATTTTGTGTAAACTTTCTTAGTTTTATCACCATTTTCCAAAGTCCATATTTGTCTTCTGATTTGCTTTATCTAGATGGTAATAGCTTATTTTCCTTGCACAGACTCCATATCATCTCTCTATGTAGTAAATGATAAAAAATGAAAAAAATATGGAACATTTGGTTATTTGTGTCATATATCTCATTTTTTCGTAGTTTTCAATTTTATGTAATACAACCTGTGCTGCCAGTCACAGCGGCCAGGAATATGGTGTGCAGCATGGAAATGGCATCCTCCCTGGAGCCAGTGCTCTTCAGGTCACTGCTTATGCACATCGCATTCCACATTCATTTATCGATAGGAATAATGCTAAAGCCCCCTTCTAAGAGCCAAATGAGTCAAATCCCGCTCCAAGAGGTTTTGTGCACTTTTGGCGAGTCGTTTCTGGCACCCTGGCCTTTGCTCATGACAGCAAGTCACGTCACCCAGGCCATGGCCAGATGGCCTGATTGATGGCATGTTTATGTCACCTGCCCCTCGGATCAAGTTTTTCCATAACGTGACCGCATCATCCAGGTCCAATGGGTTAAAGGAGCTGCCCTGCCTATAAACTAGAATGTGAGGTAGCAGTTCTCAGATTCAAGCTAGGCCTCACTCTAAATGAGGCCAGACAGGAAGCATGACGACAAGGTTTTTCTCTCTCTACTTATTCCCAAGCCATTCTTCACTCCACTCTCCGATCTTCCCTCCCATCTTCTCAAGATGTCTCAGCATCTCCCCCAGTATCTCTTCCCTTTACCTTGAACCATCTTACCTATACTCTCCCCTCTCCCCCAGTTAAATTCCTTTTCTAGTCTAGGTCCAGATACTCCAATCTCTAGCACTTCCCTGATACCTACCCTACCCTACTTTACTTGTCGCACCAGGCAACCTAAATGTTCCACTCCACCGTCTTCTACCGCATCCTCTCCTACACTTTCCTCATCTTTTGCTCCTCAAATATCTATCCCCTCTTCTATTCCTTACACAAGAACCTTTGTTTCTCAGTCCTCTTCACACAACTCACCTTTGGGTCATCTTCCTAAAGATGACCCAAAGGATCAGTTCGCTCCATCAACCACCCACCAATCCCTCTATTCTTACTCCCTCTTCATTTGAAATATTAGCTGATATCCATCATCCTCCTCCTCTCCACATTGTCTCTACCACTCCCACTTGAGTGCTCTCATGAATCCCTTCTTTCACAGTAGTGTCCTTTTCCAGACCTCTCCTTTCCTGACATTTCTATTACTTCACCACCTTCCCAGTTCCCTTTTTCATCCCCTGAATTCTTCTCTGGCTGCTTCTACAACTCAATCGCCCTACCCCCTTTTTACTAATCTCGGCTCTACTTCATTTGGTCCTCTCTTTTCCCTTTTTACTACCACACCATCTTATAATACTCTAATCTTTGACATCTAACACATTTTATTCTAATCTTTAACTCTTCTCTACCCTTCTTGCCACAATATTTTACCATAGTGCTATATGTCCTTTGATGTCTAGCACATTTATTTGTTTCAACCATTAACTATTTAACCTCTTTAGTGGTATTGTAATTTTTTTCACATTCAACGTGTGGGATGTGAAACAGCTAAAACAGCAGTGTAATGTATTTTCTGTCTTTTTTTTTTTTTCCTTTCACTTTCCTTTTTTCTGTGTATTTGTTTGTTAATTCCTCATGTCACAGATTAAAGTTGTTTATCTTTGTGATTGTTCTTTTTATTTTGTAGATATTTGTAACAATTATGCATGATGGACAAGGTAGTACAGGCAATACAGTACTGACCATGGTATAAAAATGTAAATTTTATATCAAAGTAAACATTCACATGGAGATGTAAGGTACACAGTACTGTATGGTGCAGAGTACATGTATAGACATGCATCAGTGTTCAGAATTAACTATGTACCATACACTCTCGTTGGTTTTGAGTCATTTGAAGATCTGATACTTATTTAAGTACTCTTCCAATTATAGATAAAAGTAAGAATGTATATCATTCTAGGTCATACCTATTACTACATTCGTCACAATGAAGTGTTCAAACTTTTTCTTAAGAAATTATAGGTTGATATAAATCTGTTTTTTGTTTAACTATGATAATTACTGGTTTAAGTAAAATAGAGTAAAGAATGTTTTGCAAAAGGCAAAAAAGACTATTTGATTCATTCAGGAAAATAAGAACATGAACAACTGATATTTAAAAACAAAAGCTGTGGTAACTTTAGTGACAGGTGGCGTACTATCACAAAATGGTGAATAATCAGTGACACGGTAATATCGTGACATGCCATGAATCCATTCCCTTGAGCTCCCATGCCAGCTGTGAGCCAGACAATCACCTAGGTACAGACTGGTGTGCCCTAATATACCCCCATCCTTCTCAGACTTTACTCTAAATTTTTTTTCATTGACATTAAGTTTAATTATGCACTATACACAAAGAATGGCAGGAGTAGAGATGGATTACTAGTCACCCAGTCAAAACAATACGTCACAATTTAAGGAATACACACAAGGATACACTCTTTCTGAATTTACTTTTCCAACTTTCCCTGAGCTCTACAGTAGGTCTCTATTAGACTGCTCTGTATTGCAATGTGTCGAGCATTAGGCACTCTCAGATATTTAAAGGATTCCTCATGAGTTTCACTGCTGCTGTTTGGTGTCTGTTGTACTATTATACATGTGCAATTATTCTTTTATTTGACTTTAATGGCTTGATATGTACCAGGTCAAGTTATGGGTCTTTCCTGAGGGCACAAGGAGTATGGCAGATGAAATGCTGCCATTCAAAAAGGGCGCTTTCCACCTTGCTATCGAGGGGC